TGAACACAGCCGAACATATAGATTGCTGTCACAAAGCAAAAATGAACACTTGTCTAGAATATCACCTCAATGTATGAGCCGCTACTCCCATTTCATCCATGCAAACGCGCATTGTTGGCTGTTCTGCTCTATACATGTGAATTTTTGTTCTCACATTTGGAACATTAGAAACAGTTTTCACAATTTTTTCTTCGTTTTTTTATATTTGTCCTTTTCTTCGCAGTTCGTACAGCTAAAGAACTTGTAATTCTACGGTAACTCTCTGAACACTGGCTGCATTACTCAATTGGGCGCTCATGGCGTTAGGAGGGGACATTGAAGTTAGTGAGGCGCCTACATCCTTTGGGACTGATGCTTAGAGAGAAGAAGGGCTCCTGGAAGCGGATGTGAGTAACCTGATTCTCCTTGGCGTCTGGCCTCTCCTGGACTTAGTCCTAGGGTCACCTAACAACGGTTTTTGAATGCCCTGTTTTGAGTGTCCCCTAATGCCATGAGCGCCCTCATTGAGTGCTAGAAACACTCGAATTTCCCTAAGTGAAAACGGTGCTCAGTGATGGGGTAGAAGAGGGTCGTGTCTCATACAGTGAGGTGGCATGTGGTGCGACAGTTCATATTGCATGAAGTAATCCACTTTTTTCAGGGGAGGGAAGCTCCGGGGTGGGTGTAAAAGTTAAGCGAAATGGTTCACGCACCCCGGGGATTCCCTCCCCTTGCAAAAATTGGAATTTCTGTAGCCGACAAGAACTGTCACACCACATGCCCCCTTACTGGATGAGACCCGAGGGTCGATATTGAAATTTCTTTAGGTTCCTTTCTATTGATCTTGAATTCAACTAATCTCTCGCATATTTCAGCATGGACGATGATGAGATGGGAATGTCTGCTGGCAAATACGCTCGGCTAGACGGTGTTGATGATTTGAATGAAAACAAAGAACGATACGCCCGGGAAAATCATAGCGAGGTCAGTATTTTTTTTCATTTTACAATCATGAAGTGTCCTTCAAACCTGTGCTGCTCCATTTTCAACGCGCATGGTCAGAGCATCAAATACCGTGTCGAAATCCGCTTCGATATCCAAGTCTTCCATGTCGCCGTCGATTAGTTTGTACTAGAAAACTCGTCTGGGCGAATGAACACACTAGTTTTCACATAGGCTGGCCATCGCAGATAATGATATAGGCTGAGTCGCATTCGAATGTCACTGCGAATCTGATGGAAGCCGAGCGCATGGCGCACCTCAAGAAGGGTGTGGTCAACGTCGGTTTTCTCGATCTTCAGTGGAACCCATTTATATTTGTAAGGTGACCAGGGATCAGTGCATAGCCACAACTCTGTCCTATTACCGCTAATTTCAAGGCTCTGTTTTTTCTAAGGAAAGGCATCCCACTCAAAAGGGTCCCTTCTCATCCTACTGATGTCTTTACCGTGTCTCATCTGAATCGAGCGCCTTCAGTTCACCACAATGCTTAACGTTTTTTGGCACTATTCAAGTATTAATTTCAAACAATCTACAAATGTAAATATTATAAATAAACAAACAAATACGCAACAGAATGAATATTTTAATGAATATGAAGTCATCTCAGCCCAGTTATCAATCAATAGCATGCAATTCGATTCTTAGTGCACGACAGCTCTCTCCATCAAATGATTGATGGATAGCCCTTCTCTGAGAATCGTAACTGTCAGAGTTTTGAACGCTTTCATTACCTTCTTGTCCAATACCTGCATCCAAAGTGATAGCAGGCCGTTTAATAAATGTTCAAAAAACCTGACTACAGATATTGCCGAAAAATTGTTCAGACTAGAAAACGTATGCACAACTCAAAAGATTTGCATGATTTTCAGGTTGAAAAGACCCAAACAAAAATATCTCAATTTCTTCAAAAACCGCTCATCCAAACTGATACAGTCTATATCTTACGTTTTTTTTTCATTTATTCGCGTTATAAAATTGTAAATTCTTTGTTATACGAAGTTACACGAAGGAAAGCCGCTGTCTAAGTTTGCAAAAACCGAATCGTCAAAAAATAAATAGGAGGATCTCTCAGGCAGTCACCCTGCGCCAGATTTATTTATTACCATGAATTACGTGATGGCTAACAGTTCTTCAAACATGCAGATAGAGGGCTAAAAGGGCTATCGGTACTTTTCTCAGCTTTTCGATAAGGAAAACACTGCGTCATTGGAAATTCACCCAGTTTTACTCAGCTATGCTTGGAATTTGGGTCCCTTTCCAGCTTAATCTCCTCATGAAAACTGTAAGAGGTGCTGAACCCGAACTTTGAAAATCATTCTCCGAGCGCAAGCTGGACGCTTTGAATTTCGTAAGAAAACCTTCGCGCAAATGAAGTTCTGGTTTTTGAAAAAAGGAGCCGAACTGACAAACAAAATCTTCATCTTTTGGCCTCGGTCATGTTCTTTCCTCTATTGTGTTTACTTAGCTGAATTTTGTCGGAAAGTCAAAAAGCTTTTATAAGGAAAAATCGAAATAAAGCAAGTAACACGCAAGTATCACAATTGGTTGGAAAAAGCTCTTGCTCTTGACCCTCCACTTTTCTTCTCATTAATATTTAATTCAGAGCCTGTTGCAAGGTTGGGTTAAACTATATAATAAAAATAATATATCATTAAAACCGACATTCACTTAGGTCTGTACAGGATAAATAATAGAGGCAGATCCCATTGAATAGAAAGCAGACTGAATCGAGATGGTACTTCGCTTTTGGTGCTTATACTCTTACCAAGCGAAGCTTCTTCAGGGCGTGCCAAGCTTTTTTGGAACAGTATCTCTCCAATGACATAACGCAACATGCGGGACTACAGCACAATGGTTCTTTTTCTCGGATCTAATTAACAGCAACAGGTACACCTCTAAGTTCGACTCCGCGTGGTGACAAATTTTTGCATTTCGAGCTGACGCTTCCAAAATTTCGCGCAAAATGGAGTTAGCATGAATAATTAGTACCATATTCGTGATTAGGACCGTCAGTAACCCTACAAATAGACTTTGAAAAACTGAAAAAGTGGTGGAAAAGGTATGACGCTTACGCTTTCCCGTGCGGGATTAGCATTTCAATACTGATTTTTTTCCTTGAAATTCGTTTGCCATTCGATTAAAAATCGTTAGATTAACGGACTTCGCCCAGACAAGCAGATGTGCTCTGCGTCTGCTCTCTCGCGGTCCAAAGTTCGCATCGACATTGTGAATTGCACGATCCTGCCGTTCCGTTGTGTAATTGAATGATCTCTCATTCAACAATATGCTGTCAATCCATTTCTTTAGTTCAGCTCCGAAGCCAGAATTTAATGTTTAAGCAGGCTTAAGCCATTGATGAAAGCGTTCTATGTGTTTCTGGACATATTTTTATAATTTTTTTACCCATAATTATCATCTTCGATAGTTGTAGTGTTGCTATCCGAATCTGATTTTGCAAGTGATATCTTTGGAACATGAAAACTGTTAAGTAAATCAGGTCGCGTTTCTTCCATGTGAAAGCGTAGCCTAGCCTTGAGCACCTATGTAGATTGCCAGTCTTGAAATCACTGCATTTTTCCATCTTATAGTTCTTTTATGACTACGGTAGATACAGTAGAATGGTTCTTTTATGAATGTGGTAGATACAGTGGACTACAGTAATCTGATTAGAGGATTTTGTGAACCGTATCGACGGTCCATTGTGATTTTCTCAAAGAGGAGTGTGGGTAGGGTCAACCGTCGCTTCGAACTTTTCCAAAAATTTTGCGACCTCCTTTGTGGGGATCTCATAACCCCCCTCCTCTCCCACCGTCACCATCAGCTTTTGAAGGCTTCCCAATAATGACCGTCTACCCACTAACCCACCCCCGCCTTCGTCCCCTCGCCATCAAGGCTGCTTCTATGGCATTGGTTTAATTCTGTGACCAATCGACGCAGCGAAATTCCTCCCTCTTTTTTCCTCTGGAGCTTCCATCGACGGGGGGAGGGGGGGATAAAGTCTTTAATAAAGCATCAAATACTGCAGTCTAACCTTATTCAATCCCAAATACGACCTCACCCCCTCTAAATCACGAATGGGATCCTCTCGTTTCAGTATATGGTTGATCCCGGTGGTGGGTGGTACT